TCCCCCACCATCGACACATTCTAATCATTATCTGCATCTACAGCAACAACAACAACAACAAATCAACCAACCGTCGTCATCGTTTCACCAACAACATTATCACCAGCAACCACAACAGCAACAACATTATCAGCAGATGCAGCAGTATCCTCCTAGCCATCGACAGCAACCACAGCAGCAACAGCAACACATTCAACACTTTTCAAAATCATCATCCTCGTCATCCTCACCAACTCCACCAATACTTAATTACCAGAATTATCCACAAATGCCATCTTTGCCATCGTCACATCATCATCACCAACAACAGCAGCAGCAGCTATTATTGCAACAGCCGCAACAACAACTGCAACAGCAGCAACAAAGCTGCTCAACTTCTCCACAGTCCTGCAAACCAAAAACAGGCAGAGCAAAGACTAATGCAGAGTTGAAGAAACAGCTGATGGAAAAAAGAGCAGGCCAGCCCGTGAAGGGATCAGGGGAGGGTGGTAGCCAAGCCTCAAGTCCGTTGGGAGGGCCCTCAAGTCCCCATTCTGTGTCCAGTGTCAATTCACTGAGCAACAGTGGTGGGGGTGATTTCAATGGCATGGAAGTTAGTGTGGTCAGTAATTCTAATTTGGGTGTTTACTTGATGTTTGTATGCTTTACAATTATTTAGAAGTTATTTATTAAAAGTAAGAAAAATATTTTTTCAATTTTTTCTGTTAAAATATTCCATGGTTGATTTTGGGAATATTTTTTGTTCAAACTTCTCATTTTGCTATGCCTTCTAATTTACCTTTTTTCTTTCTTAGCATGCTCAACAACAACCGCAACAATTTGGAAATAACATCAACCTGAATTACAAAAGCAACAGCAACAATGACAGCAACTTCAATCCGAATGTCCAGTGGCAGCTGGGTGATCTTGTTTGGGCCTGGTCACCTGGTCTTCCATACTGGCCGGCCATGATTGTCCTTGACCCCACCTGTGGACAATATGTTAAATTCGGTTCAAGTTAGTGTTACAGTATCTACATTGAATTTTCGTCGATAAACTTGAGATAAATTTATTTAGTCATGTTATATAAAATTGGATACGTAATTTTTTTTTCAAAAGATGGCCAGAAGAGCCAATACCACGTTCAGTTTTTCAACGACCAAGTAAAATCGGGTTGGATGACGGAGTCTTCCATCATAACTTTCAATGGTCGACAGTATTTTGAAGAATTCTGCTGCAAGATGCTGGCAGAGAATAAGAAGGATAAGAAGGCTTACAAAGTCCCAGCAATCAGGAGGAAGTTGTGGGAGGGTTGTGTAAGGGCATTAGAAATGGTTGCCGACCTGTCGAGACAAGATCGCTTGAGCAAAGTGCCTGCCATCTTTGAGCCGCAGTATGTTTATAAAAAGAGGGGAAGAAAGCCTCTCAACTTCGCTGATGGTGATGATGAAGACTATGATGCTGATGACATGGGTGATCCTGAATCAGGTAAGTCCGGTTTTTTTTTTTTGAATTTTTTTTTTTTTCTTGTTTCTTGTTTTATTTCGTCTACAGTGGCTAAAAAAAGAAAATCATTAGTAGAGCCGGATAAAATGCAGAAGAAACTGAAGTTTAATGACAGCAGCTTCAGAAAAAATAGTGACAGTATTGATGATAGGTTTATCTCTCCTGACAACAATGAAATTATGCCAAATTTCAGTGCAACCAGCAACCTATTCAATATTTCTGCAGATCAACTAAAACACCAACAACAACATCTTCAACATCATCAGACGCCAGACAGATCATCATTGTTACTACAGGCAAATCCTCCATCATTCCCTCATCACTATCCACCAAAAGTATCCCCACTACCACATCATCAGCCTCCTGTTCATCCATCTTATTCCCACCACCACCATCGTCATTTCAACCATGGTGAAGCAGCCCATATAGTTGTCCCCAAAAATGTCTCCAATCAATTTCAAGCTCAGTTCACCGTCTTCTGTAGGAAAAGGAGAGAAGCCGTCCTCTCAGAGCATCCTTCTTGGTCACCTACTGAGGTTGAGAGCCACTTGTGGCAGCAGTGGTCCCAGTTGGATGATGAAACAAGGTCGAGGTTTATCCCAATGGGTTCTGACTTTACATTTTTGAGTCAGATGATGGGGGAGATCTCTGGCGCAGTTACTGGTACTGCTACTGGAGAGGTTTCTGTTGCTACTACTTCAGCTGATAGCACTGCTGCATCTGCCGCTGCTACTGTTGGCATTGCTGTTTCTAATACTACTAATAAAATGAGTAATGACAAAACTATTGATAAGGATAGTATTAACCATAGTAACAATAGTGTTTTGTGTAAAAATGATGATCAGGCTTGTAATAACAAAAATAGTACTGCATTAAAATTGCCAAATATCAAAAGCCTTAATGTTAGCAGTATTGATAAACTGTCAGCAAATGAAAATTCAAAAAAATCATCATCTAGTGGAAATCAAACCTCAACAAACTTGAATGTTTCAAAGAGTTCCACCACCAAAGTGCAAAAATCGACATCATCTGTTTCAAATGACACTGGAAACAATTTGGTCATCGATGAAGTGTGCTTCATCTGCGAAAAACCCGACCTAAATATAGTTCAGTGTGAGGGACCCTGCAGAAGTCTGTTTCATAGAAAATGCATTGGACTGTCACCAAAAGGGCTGGATGGGGAGAAAATTTTTTGCCCTCATTGTACATCAGGTCTGTATTTTTTCATTGTGCCACTGATTATATGATGCAAGAGTGTCGTTAAAATTTTTTTTTATTTATTCAATGTAAAATGATGGATCATTTTTAAAGACTGAAGGTATTCATTACATTTTTACAATTTCCATTTCACTCAATTTGTTTTCTGAGATCAGGATTTTGTAGAAATTATTTTTATCACTTATTTTATCCAACGTATCAATATCATTATGATTTTTGAGTGTCGTTAACGTCCTACCTCGGGGAACTGGGTCTCTGGATGCTAAACGAAGATTTATGGATTGATTTGGGTGTCGTTAACTAGTGTGGTTCATATTATTTTTGCATATCGAATGATTGTCTATGGTTAGTTTCATGTATTCCTGTAGCCAATTCATTATTCATATAAAACCTCATAGGATGATTTTAGTTTAGGATTTGATTCTTTAGATTTTGATTCTTTAGGATTTGATTTCATGGCCTAATCATTTTTGATCTCCCACAGAAACCCACAAGTGTGGTGACTGTAGCAGAACACTGAAGCAATCGGATGTCGGCACCGTCCTTTGTAGTGTTACTGATTGCGGAAGGTTTTATCATAGGTCCTGTGTGGAGGAGAAGTTCTACAAGGCTCCAGACCGCCTCGTCTGTCCTCTTCATTCCTGCCTTTCCTGTAGAGTTAGGGATAAGGTTAAAGGTTGGTGTTAGTTTTTTATCTGTCTGTTTGTCTATCGGTTCGTTTGTCTGTCTGCCTGTCTGTTTGTCGCTGTATGTCCGTATTTTATTGGTTTGTCTATTTGTTTATTGATATTTGACTTATCTATTTACTTTATATTACAAATATATATGTGTATTCAATAAATCTGAGACACAATGCATATTCAGTTTTTAGCTGCATGTGTGTCAGTGTATGTGTGCGTGTGTTTGTGTATGTGTATATATATATATATATGTGTGTGTGTGTGTGTGTGTGTGTGTGTGTAGGGGGTTTTATATGTACATATGTGTGTGTGTAGGTTGTTTACATGTATGTATGTTGAGTTGAGTTCAGTTGATTTAAGCTGGATCATAATAATAATTATTAATAATAAATCAATAAATAATTAATTATTTATGGTTATGTTGTGTTTTTTTTTTCTTAATTTTAACCAATTTTCTGAAAATTAATAAATTTTATTCATTTTTTTCTGTTGAAAAAAATTCCCGACCAGATTCAGTTTCATAATTATCTTCTACTTAAATTAATGTTTTAATAAAGTTGCTGATAAGAAGGATGGTGATGGTGAAGAGGAAGGTGATTATGTAGTCTTTAATGATAAATGCTGGAATAGGAGTGATAAGATAATGAATTAGATTTTAAAACTTTGACAATATTAATAAACATTGATACATGTTAATAACAATGACAATCTTAATAAAATGGCGACAAATTATGACACTGATGATAAGAATGATGATGATGCTATCAACAATCATATTTGGTTCATAAAAGATTGATGATAATGATGATGCTGATACACTGCTGAAATTACAAAATTTGTTTTGCGTCATACCTGCACTATATAGAGGCGTCGATATTTTTATATTTTCACCACATTTCATTATCATTAAGTACCATATACTCATTGTTATATCATCATTCTTTTTATTGTTATTATTTTGTTATACTCATTTTCATCATCAAATAGATTCTGAACTGACAATGGCAGATGATGAAGACTTGGATTTTTATGAGTGTATACGCTGCTCCTCTGCATTTCATATCACAGGGGTGTGTCTTGCCTCTGGCTCTAAATATTTAGCTGGTTAGTTTGTGGATGTGTGTGTGTGTGTGTGTGTGTGTGTGTGTGTGTGTGTGTGTGTGTGTGTGTGTGTATGGAAGTTTGCTTATGTGTGTTTGTGTGTATGTGTATATGTAAAATCGTAAATAATAATTTTTAAGATGCTATCTTTATTAGAGTTTAATAAATAGATGTAAATATGGAACTAATTAATAAATAAGTTACAGTCAACTGGTATATTAGATAATGATAATAAGATTTACATAATGTTCCTCAGTGATATATATGCATATGCATACATACCTATTTACACACACACACACACGCACGCTCGCACGCACGCAATGTATTAATTATTATACACAAATGTCAACAAATTTTTATAAAAATGTTCGTATTGACGATCAAATGAACAACGTGTAAAAGGTCAGTTTGTAGTGTGCAGTCGACATTTTAATCCGTCACCAAAGACTAACCCATTGCACGCTCGATTCGGAGTTACGTGGTGTTTCTCATGCGAAAAGGGTTAGATAATTTTCTGATGTCTAATTTCATTTATTTCCATTTTTTGGTATTTTCATCACCATTATCTTTCTATCTTTGGTATCTAATTCACAAATTAATTTCCTATTGTTTTTGTAATTAGTTTTTTAATAGTAAATTTTTTTCTCATTTATAATTTTCAATGAATTAATCTAGGTGGTGGCAACATGCTGAACTGTGAATCGTGTCCGGCTGCCTACCACTCGACATGCCTAAATGTGGCGGGTGCTGATAAGAAGGGGTCGCAGCAGACGACATTGACAGGGCTTGAAAACTGGAAATGTCCTGATTGTTCAGCCGGTGTTCATCCCCTCTATGGTGATATAGTTTGGGTGAAATTTGGAAGTTATAGGTCTGGCCTGGTTTTTAATATTTCATATTTATTTCCTTTTAATATTACCATATCATTGTGTCATTCTTGCAATTAGGAGAGTTCTGAAATTATTTAGTGATTTTTGTACTTTCTGGGATTAAATTTTTTTCGTTGTCTTCCACCTCGATCCCTACCCTAACTGTGACCTCGACTTTCACATTTAAAAAGATGGTGGCCAGCCCAGATATATTGGCCTTATGAGGTGCCGCAAAACATATCGGACCTACCGCATGATGTCGGTGAGTTCCCTGTCTGCTTCTTTGGCTCTAGGGATTATTTGTGGCTGAACAGGAAAAGGTTTGTTGTTATTATTATTATTGGTAGTAGTGGTAGTGTAATAATAATAGTAGTAGTAGTAGTAGTAGTAGCAGTGGTAGTAGTAGAAGTAGTGGTAATATTAATAGTAGTAGTAGTAGTATTATTAGTAATGCAAATGTTGGTAGTGTGATAATAATGATTATGATTGCGCTAATGTGGTGATTGTTATTGATGATTATGATGGATGTAACGGTTATGATTATGATTATGAAGGCAGCGATGATGATGATGATGATGTTGACGATGAGAGTTGATTTGGATGAGGATTATTATCTACAGGGTCTTTCCATTTAAGAAAGGCGACAAATGCTGTAAGGATTCGTCAAAACGTAGTGGTGGAAAGCTTTTCGATAAAGGTTGTCGTCGTCCCTTTCATCTCCTTCGTTTCTGTTTCACCATCATCACCCATATCATCACATTATGATAAGATAAGATGGCGTTCATGCCAGAGATAACAGCATCAATGTAGTTAATCAATTAATTAGTTAATTAAAAATCCGACCCATAACGAGTGGAGACTATAAACTAGGATTGATTGATTGATTGAATTAATTAATTAATTAGAATGCGATAATTTGATTTAATTATAATTCTATTAGCCATAAAAGAAGCACTTGCCCTCTACAACAGCATGCAGTCAGACCCAACACAATCATACCAGCAGTCTTCGTTGCTGAAGAATAAAAGGAGGTCGAGTAAGAAGAAAAATAATAACAAGGACAGCAAGAAAGACGATAGCGGTGCTGATAATGATAAAATCGCATCACGTGATGATGTTGATGATAAAAATAGCCCTCCAGAGAACGACAACAACGACGATGATGATAATGATGCCAATAATAAGGGTGATAAGAATAAAAATAATAATAAAAAGTCGAGGAGACAGGTCAGTAAGAAGGATGACTCTATTAAAAAGAGGAGACCAGCAAAAAAATCGACTGATAAGAACATCAAGGAAGTTGTTAGTGACGATATTCACACTGGTAATGATAAGAAAATTGATGATTCAAAGGGTAATAATGATAATAACAACAATGATGATTACGTGAATGATGATACTACAAATGAGGATGTCATCGACTTGAGTAATGCCAGATCGAGAATTGAAAAAAGTAAAAATTGTGATAAAGACAAAAAGAAGTCGACCTGTAAGAGTAGAAGCAAAACCACTGATGATGATAAGGAAGGTAGAGATGATGATGAAAAGGCAAAGGATGAAGTTGATGAAGATGAGGATGGTAACGAAAGGAAAGAAGCCCAGCTAAAACCATCAAGTAAAAAAGTTGACAAGAAAAAACGGTCGTCATCGTCAACCACAGTTAAAAATTCTCATAGTCAGTCATCATCACAATTATCGACATCTTTATTATCACTACCACCGCCATCATCATCATCTTTGTTATCGCCAATATCACCAGCGGAAAGGAAACCACCGACTCGTAGCAAAAGCAGTAAAAAATACAGACATTCCACTGGTGGCCATTTTTCGTCGTCTTCAATGTCGCCACCATCACCGTCGTCAATCGTCTCCACATTAATTTACAAACCTCTTCCTCAGGGAATTTCCCAACCTGGGGTCCACGAAAGTGTTTGCTTTTGGTGCGGAGGTGAAGGTCAGAGTAGTGATGATGATGATGAGGAGGAGGAGGAGGAAAATGAAGAGGAGGAAAAAATTGACATTGCAAATGATGGTGATGAAAATGGTAATAAAGAGTGCAACGTTCCTTTTTGTGATGATGTTAACAACAATACTGATAACGGGAATGGTAACGAAGATGAAGTGTACTACAGCGGTTATGCCGTCGGGAAGGTTGTGGACAGGCGTAATGATAAATCCGCTGCCAGCGCTGGCGATGATGTCGTTGATGAAGGTGATCCTTATGATGGGAATGAAAAGATTGACGATGATGGACGCGCTAGTACATTTGACGTTAAAAAAGAAGAAGGTGATGGTGAAATTACCATCGCTGGTGTTCAACCTGAAGATCGCTCTGTACCTGACGATGATGACGGTGATGCAGACGGTGATGAATATGCTAATGATGACACGGACGAAGAAGGCGAAGAGGGCGATGACGATTATGATGATATGATAATAGCCACTGAGGTCTATGAGAGTGATGATGAAGAACCCACCAAGCAGGATAAAAGTTCTGATACTGTCAACAGTGGCAACGCTGAAGATTGCAACATCAACCGAAATGTTAATACTGGTGATCTGGGTGGTAAATGTGCTGCTGCTGCTACTGCTGCTGCTAAAGACGATGATAAGGATAATGATAATAATGATGATAATAGAATGATGGAAGACGAAGATAAAAACGATAATGATGATGATAAAAATAGTGGAGATTTTGACAATGAGGATTGTAATGAGATCTGCAAAGCTTCTAACGGACGTGAAACAAATTCCACTGCAAATTTTTCCGTGAATGGCGACGATGATAATAATAATGATAACATCATTGGGAATGATGATAATGTCGATGCTAATCACAGTACTAAACATGATGATGGTAATGATGTGGGTGATGATGATGATGATGGTAATGATGATGATGATGATGTAGGTGATGATGACGGCAATGACGATGAGCTGGCGAAAGCTCAAATCAACGAATCGTCTGATAATGCTGATGATGATGGTGAAAGTGGAAGTAATGATGACGATCGTAATAATAACAATAATAAAAATAATAATAATGATAATAATAATAATAATTGTAACGATAATAGTGATAATAATATTAATGAAAACAGTTGTGTTGTGGTAGCTGATAAAAGTGCTACGGATGGTCAGCTTAAAACTTTCAATAACGATATGGATTGTAATGATGATAATGATGGTGATGATGATAATGATGGTGATGACGACGACGACGTCGATGATACCAGAGGTGATAATGATGGTAACAATCAAAACGACGACGCTGATGATGTTGTTGATTCTAATGTAAATAAAGAAGGCGTAAAATTTCATAATGATGATTATAACATTAATGATGATGGTGGTAATGTAACTACTAGCAGTAATATCACTGATCTCGCTGCTACTGCTGTGGCTACTTCTATTACTACTACTGTTGCTACATCTGCTACTTCTATTACCACAGCAACTACTACCGCCGATGATTATGATGATGATGGTAATTATGATGATGGTGAAAGTGATAACAAAATTGCTAATGCTACTGGTGACAATGATAATAACGATGATAATTCAATGGAATTTAATGATAATGATGATGATAAGAATAGTAAAATTAGTGAGGTTAATGATGATTCAGTAGTAATTAATGCGAGTAACGATAATAATAATGATAATAATAATAATTATTATAATAATGATAATAATAATAATAATTATAATAATGATAATAATAATGGTATTGTTACTAATAGTTTTAATGATGACTCACTTAGACGTGCTGTTTCAAGGATTGCTAACTCTCATATTTCCATCCCTAATATTAAGGATACTACTACTACTACCAATAATAATAATGATATTAATGGCAATGATGATAATAATAGTGATGATGATGATAAAATAAGACAGAGTAGTAATACTGCTACTGCCGATACTATTAATGTAGAAATTAATATTGATGATTCTATGAAACCAGACCAGTCTATGGTTACCACTACTACCGTTACTTCTGCTGCTGCTGCTGTTGCTGTGGCTACTACTACTGCTTCTGTTGAAATTATGATTACTTCAGATAACAATACTAAGGATGCTGATAAAAATTATAATGAAACCACTGATAAATGTGATACTTTTACCTCTGACGGTCTCAATGCTAAAGGAGAAGTCACTACTTGCGCCTGTTTAAATGATGTTACCGCTGATGATACTATATCCAGTACTAATAATAGCGTTGATGATACTAATGTGGATACTACTGATACTGTAAATTGTACAGAAACTAGTGTCGATGTTTCTAATACTACTCCTGTTGTTGTAAACGTTTTTGTTTGTTCTTTACTTGATGAAATCCTGTCGAAATGTGTTGAGGTTGGTGAGGATACTACTACTACTACCACTACTACTTCAACTACTCCCACTACTACTATCACTACTGCATCATCCACTAGCGTCGCTTTTACTACATGCAGTAGTAACACTTTAACTACTACTACTACTGCTACAACTGCTTCGGTAATTTTTGATAATGAATTCGCGGAAAGTAATGTAATTTTAACTGATGACGATGATGATGAGGATGTTAAACTTTCTGACCATCATGTTAATGGTGATGACGACGACGATGGTGGTGGAGATAAAGTCGGCAGTATGTTTCAACAGAATACTAAACAAGATGATGATGATGAGGATAATGAGGATAATGTTGATAATGTTAAGACTGCGTGTGAGGAAGATGATGAAATTAGGCACTGTGATGATGTGAGTAAAGATGCTGAAACTTTAGTAGACTCTCATCACGATATGGGTGATGATGTCTGTAAACGGGATCTTGTTGGTGATGGTGATGATGTTGGTGACGAAAAAATCGGTGATGAGAATGTAGGTATCAATATTGATGAAGATTGTAATGATGAGGATGATAAATATGATGAACATCACGAAAGTAAAAGTAACGATTGTAGCGATAGTAATCATCGTATGAGTGTTAAAAACTCTGCGGTAGTGATGGATGATGATGACGACGACGATGATAAAAATAAAGATGACGTTGTTGATGTGAGTGTTGTTGAAAATGATGATATCTTTAGCGACGCTACTAAAAGTAAAATTGACGGTGCATTTTGTGATACTGGTATAGACAAAAGCTCTAGCAATGATGAAGGCGAAGATAGCGATAATGATAATAATGATAATGATGATAATAACGTGGGTGGAGGTGGTTATAATGAGCTTCCGAATGATGCAACAGTTGATGATGAAAAGAATGATTACGATGGTGATGGCAAAACGAAG